TAAGCAGGAAGATGCACCTAGAATTTATGAAATAGAAAAAAGATAAGGTAATATTTAACAAGGTTTTCTTGATTTCATTATTATCTTACTAAATTGGTCACACTTAAGGAAGAATACTAAAGTTGTGTTAAGTTACATGTATGCACTTGCGGGAAATGTGAATGCAACGCAGCTGTTTTGTGGGAAAAGCTTCAACAGCGTAGTCTTGTCACCAAATTTTTGATGGGCTCAACAAATCTTATGAGTCCACAAGAAGACACATTCTGATGCTCAACTCTATTTCGTCTATTGAGGAAGTGTTTAATATGGTAACTCAAGATGAGCGACTATGGTCTATCAAGCCATCACCAAAGTCTGATAATGTAATTTTTGAAAATTCAGCCCTTGCTGCTTCTGAGATGAAAATCAAGATTATGCTGCTCAATATAAAAACTATCATCAACATTAACAACTTTTGTGTACTTATTGTGGTCTTCTTGGCCATACTGTCAGCAAATGTTTCAAGATCTATGGTTATCCACCTGAACATAGAGGTCATGTCTCTGGGAATCAGTCACAGCCTCCTACTCCAAGATAATCATATCCTACTCAACCAGCATTTCATCATGCTCAAACAAATGTCAATCCCAAAGAACAGTTTACTTCAGGACAAAAGCTTTGATTCCAGCAATACTAACAATCTGCAGTAGCTGCTAATGTCATGAACAATGCCTTACGTGCCACCTCCTACTACAAACGCTGTGAATATGGACTTTAGTCAAATAAATACGGATCAGATTCAAGTTCTCATTCAACAACTCAATACACATGTTCAAGTTCTTTTCCCATGAGCCAATCATTCATATATTAGTGCAATTGGTTTCATGGCTGCTGAATCTTATGCTTCTGGTACTTTCTCATTTCTCTTTCCCTCTTATACTGTTCATTTTGAAAATCTTTCCCTGCCATTTCAGCACCAATGTTTTTCTTCTCTTCAAAATACCCTTCCTTCGAACGCTTGGATTATTGACTCTGGTGCTACTTGAAATGTCTATTCTGACATTGTGATGTTTAGTGAAGTAACAATTGTTTCTGGTGTGGTTGTCTCTTTACCTAATGGCACTAGAGTTCCTATTACACACATTGGCACAGTTCACATATCTGATCATCTCATTATGCATCATGTATTACATGTCCCTTCTTTTAGTTTTAACTTGACCAATGTGAGTAGTCTTTTAAAACATAATCATTATTCTGCCCATTTCGATTCTGATTCATGTTTCACACATGCGCATATTCCGGAGTTGATGATTGGTAGAAGAACTCTCATACATAATCTCTACATTATTGACATTGTTGTTTCTCCTTCTTCTGCAAACTATGTTGGATCATTGATGGTTGATGGTCAGCTTTGGCACCAGCGCCTCGGTCACCCATCTCCTGCCAAGTTACAATACATGTTTGATGTCTTAGATTTGTCCAAGTCGAGTCTCACGAGTCCTTGTCAGGTTTGTCTACTAGCTAAACAAAAACGTCTTTCTTTTGTTTCTCAAAATAGGTTATTAGAATTTCCTTTTGAATTTGTCCACCTTGATGTTTGGAGTTCTTTTAGAGTCGAGTTTGTTCATGGTTTCAGGTACTTTCTAACACTTGAAGATGATTGTACTTGTGTTACTTAGGTCTATATTTATGTAATAAAAGTGATATTTGCAATGTTTTTTTCTGAGTTTATTAAGCTTGTTCATACTCAATACAATGCGGTTATCAAATTTATTCGCAGTGATAATGCTCATGAACTTGCTTTTACTGAACTTTGTAAAGATCGTGATATGATTTATCTGTTTTTTTTTGCGTAACCCCCCCAACATAACTCGGTTGTAGAAAGAAAACATCAACATTTGTCAAATGCGGCTCAACCTTTCATCTTTAAATGGAATATGCCGCTTGAATATTGGAGTGATTATATCTTAACTACTGTCTTTGTTACTAATAGAATCCTCTCTTCTTTTAGACAAGAAATCACAGTATGATCTGTTTCTGAACAAGTGCCAAATTACTCTTTCTTGCACAGTTTTGGTTGTCTTTGCTATGTTTCAACATTGCGGAAAGATAGACACAAAATTACACGTTCCTCCACTTGTCTGCATTGCCATCTACAAAGAGTGCATCTCCTATACCTTTAAGGGTCATCTTTCTGGTTGACTTTTATCGCCTGTCCGAAATATACCCTAACCTATTACATGTCAGCCAGCCAGTCCGGAATATCGTCAGGTCAGGTTTTGTCTGACCTGTCTGAATCCAAATTTGCTGCTCCATTGTACTGCTTACCTACCGCTTGCAGGAGCCCTCTTATGACTCCCTACGCTACACCATGCATGACAGTAATGATCAAATCTCCAGGAATTGATCCGAGCTATAACTAGCATGAGTATTTATTCTTCTAGCGGGTCGATTCTCACACCTTGGTTCCATTACCTCTCGTCATCCTAATAAGAACTATTTCGTTATTCTGACGGTCCTTCATGCCGCTTGTGATTTCACTATTTTCTTTCTATGGCCAACGTTAAATAGGCACTGTTGAGACACTTCCCTTTCTCTTTTGCAGCTTTTCAGGGCATAATTCAATACAACGAGCACGACCTCGTGCATCTGTCTTGGCTGAAAGAGAGATTGAGGGACTCTCACTTCCTGTTGTCGCCCCGGCGCATTAAGGAGAGTTTCCTGATGCTTCCACCAGGTACCCACCTTCGCATCTCAGGTAATTCTCGTGCTGGTGTCGCTCGATTGGACACATTATTTTGACTCTTCGTGTGTCTTAGTAACGATCAGGTTCTCAGCGCTCTTGGTTCCATGACTTGCAGGTTCCGAAATTGGCTGAATGGTGTGTATTGGATTTATACCCTTGAGATCTTCTATGGGTTTGCTGGCAGGGTCTTTTTCCTAGTGCCATTCTCAAAGGGGTATGCTATCTCCTTTGGCCAGCCCATCTTTGCAGCCTGGCCCTTTCTCGTCCCGTTCAGCGGCAGCTTCTAGTTCATGACCGGGGTCTTCTGCCATGAGAGAAGTGACTCCTTCTCTCGCGGCCATCTTGCCAACCTTCCCTTCTCAAGGGTTATCCACGCGATAACTGCCTCCTTCTTCGGAGGGCTGGCATTGCACTGCGGCTGACCTTCACGACTCCCTGAAGGGGATACAGTTTCCTTCCTTACCCACTTCAGCTTCTCCTTAGTGGACACTTCTGAACCATATCTTGTCTTTTCCAGTGCTTCAAGGTGCTAACCCTGCTGAAGAATAAGCTGCGGATAGCTAAGTGCCAGAAGCGGGGCTTAGCCGAAAGAGCCAACAAAATTCAGGCAGAACTTATCTTGGTGAAGGACGTGCTCACCAAGTCCTAATCCTCCGTGCAAGGTGTGGTGTTGGGGGATGAAGTTTCTCGCCTCGTGGGGGAACTAGAGCGGGCACAATGGCTCTTCTCCGAGCGAGAACTTGAGTTTGGCCATCTTCGAGACATGGTGATTTCACTGCAAGGCTAAGCTTCAGATGCTTCTATCGATGAAACACAGGTAACTATCAAGGTGCTTGCAGACACTCAGGCTGAAGTCTTGTGCTTGCGCAGAGAGTTAGATGCAGTGTGGTTACCTTGCGGAAGCTCAAAGGGTATAGCTGGACTGTATGTGTCAAATCCGTCCAAAGCAGGTCTGATAGGCTCAAGAGTTAGGCCTTCTCCTCGCATTCCTTGCTCTTTAATGTTTTTTTTAATTTTTATTTTACTTCATTGTGCACATAAATACTTAAACTTCTTTTAGGAATGCGCCTTCTGTATAAATTCTTATTTCATTTTCGATATGAGAATCTTTTTTTTGCTTAGTTGTCCTTCTTGCGTTATTCTCTTTATCTTTTTATAACTTGCATCATTTTTTTAGAATTTGGCTTTTGCTTTCGATAGTACTTTTCTGGATGGAACGCCTAGTGCGGCCTTCGAAACTCTACTATGGATGACCTTTCAGGTTTGAACGTCTGCCATCGTGGCTTCTTTCAAGCAAATCTTGTGTCTCCTAATTGTGGATAGTGTTGCTACGGATGTTTTGTCTTTACAGTCGTGCCATAAAATATTCTTGGGTGGCTGGTGCTTCCATCAGGTTCCTTCAGTCTTCTATAGCTGCTGCTTTTCTTTACATCATACTCTAGTTTTTCCCTCTCTTTGGAAGAAATTTATGAGATACTTATATGGGATATGTGTTTGTTATTGCAGGTGATCTTCATCTTATGTGTTCATCCACCATGGATAAGTAACGTCTATATAATCCGGAATTTGAAATCATCTAAATAAATAGTCAATCGGTCCACAAGAGGACAAGAAAGAGATTTTTCGCCTGAAAATTTTCAGACGCCTAAGTTAAGAACGCCCTATTAAAAACAAATACCCATAAAGATAGGTTTTAGGTTGGTTTATGATTGAATACTACGTTCAGGGATTGTAGTATCCCTCAGCTGTTTGGTCGGTGGTCGAGGTGACCGTATGACACCGTGAAAAAGGAGTTGGAACTCTTTCATGACAGGTAAAATATAGAAGAAACACGGACTTACCTCTTGTGGCACATCCTCTAGACGGCTTGGAATGTACGGGAATGGTTGCGGTCTGCTTAAGGATGTCAAGTGTGAGCTTTTAGACACCCTTATCGAAGGGATTAGGTCCGGCAGAATCTTTGAAGGCTCATTAGATAGTTCTCCTTTATTGTGGGTGTGATATATTTCTCTAACCATAACCATTTGTCTCCTTCACCAGTTGATCGACCTCTTCTCTTATTAGTGGTGATGTCTTATTTATATTGCTTTGGTCCGGCTTCCTATTGGATCCGCATATCTCGCCCAGTAGACTTTTAGGGAGTTGTTTACCTACTTCTCCGTCAGACTTATACGATAGCTTGACATATTTCTGATGATTAGCAGGTTGGTAATATGTACGGATCAAGATGATAAATATTACCGACCTGGAAATATTTCATGCTATTGTATATGTCCGACGATATAAGTCCGATGATAAACATTTAACCTGGAGAGTAATCAATCTGTTATGATAAATAATTTATTTAACCAAGAAACGTAATAAATATCATTGGCTTTCATGGAAATAGAAAAAGCAACCCGAACACAATATACCGAATCTTCTTTCCTAACACATCTAGAGATACCAAACGCAAGACATGCAAGTAAAAAAGAGGTCTTGGTTCAAAGTTGGGGTAAGGGAGGAGCCTCGCCAAATTTAAGAATGTAAGCAGCCTGGTGAATTGGTCTCAGCTGTAATATGATCTGAGCATCAAGATACGCTTCACAGCAGAAGCACCATACCGACAAGTCACTGTCATTCCACAGATTCGAGTCAAGTCACATATCTCAGCATTATTCGCCGTAAAACACAAGAAAACGAAAGAAAAGAGCAAAATGTAATGAAAATTAAAAACATATATTACCTATAGCTTAGTGCAAGGCAGTGACCAGTGTGTTGATGATGCATAAGCATATGTCTGTTCACGAAACGGCTGCATAGAACCTCTTTACAACAAAGACACAACCAGTTCTCTACCGGGTTTTCGCACCTTATGCACATTAGAAAGTGTCAAAATTATTTATACAGCAAATGAGACAATCACAAGAACTTTGGTTCAGTGTTTTGAGATTGTTTACTTAGAATACAGAGTTAACTAATCAACCTACGGCAGAATCAGACACATAATAGAACATCCCTCAACTTTCCTTATGTTCAACTTCACAAAGAGGAAGAGCAAACTCATGCAACGCCTCGACACAATTCATACTAATTATGTTGTGTGCCATGACCGTAACTCAATTCCCATAAACATCATATTTCATGGGACTATGTGCCATTGAATATCAAATTAAAAGAACTTTCTGCAGCTCATCAAATGAAATACAGTTCAACAATTTTTGAGATAGCAATCCTAAACAAATAAGCAATTAGAGATCATACACACTTAAGTAAAACGAAAGAAGACATTCTTATAAGGTGAGAATAAGCCACAATTTCACAGTAAACCTTTGATCAGTGATAAGTATTCTTCAAAAATACAAACAATTGTGAGATTACTCTTTAAACAAGCAATTACAGATCATCATATTAAGTAAGTGCCTCTAAAATTACAATCTGGAACCAAAACATCAGATCAAACGTAAAGGGATCCAATAGCCAACCTCGAACAAGGAGTATCAGGATTTGGTAAGTGAATCAAATCGGGAGAGAGAGAATTCATGTGATCACAAGATGTTCGGGCTTCGACCCAACCCGACCCGGCTCCGAGTATCCAGTCTTGTGTTTCATCTGCAACTTCCTGAGAAAGAGAGTTTGTTAAAGAAGATAATGACAGAGGTCGCGAAACGTAATTGAGGAGAAGGTACGAATTTGAGGTTTACCGGCTGAGAAGAGGACGACGACACTGTTCTGGTCGCCATCGATTGAAGCGAGTAAGCGACACCGAGAATCACTAAAAGCACCGTCTTTGGAATAATCTCTGGCCCCGTTTAGAGTTCTGACTTGTTTCTTTTTACGTATTTATACATTTGAGAGAAATTCGGGAAAGTGTATACTATAAAATAAGGCTAAAAAATAATGAAATATTATATAGTTCACGTTTTCAAAAACTTGGAAATCAATAATTTTACGTTTTCAAAAACTTGGAAACCAACTAATTTTACCTACTTTTAATGAGTTTATTAAAAATGACGTTGATTTCTTGAATTTTTCTTTAGGAAAAATTAAAAATAAAGTATAATTTTTTTTATATGTCGTGTTTCTATCTTCGTAAGTAACTAAATTAGAATCTGCGTATGATGAATTTCTAATAATAAGATTTAAAATTTCTTAAAATAACTTTAAAAAATCATATAACTAGTGAAAAAATATATTACAAATAAAAAATCAAAACCTAAAAATTATTTATTTATTTTAAATTTCATTTATTTTTAATTAAAATATTTAAAACCTAAAATGTGTTGCGAATCCTAAGCAATATTAATTTTATTTTTCTTGTAATTTACCACTTTATCAATTATTTAAATTTTTTTCTATATGGCTGCGTTGAAAACTTTCGAATACAATTCGAGTCTTTCGAATATGATAACTCTCTCTTTCATTAATTAACACAAAGCTTTTTATGTCTTTAGTACAACATCACTGCACTAGATATAGTATAGTGGTTTGTGAGTCAATCAATCCAAAATAAGGGGTGGTATAGAGAAGATGCACAAACTTGTAAAGCTAGGCAATAAGGAGTTTTTAAAAAGGCCACACTCAAGTAAGCAATAAGTACAAACAAGTAACCATTGTAACTACAGCTTAGAAAGCAAACAAGAGCAATTCTAATAGCAAGCAAAACATAGCAAAAACAGAGCAACACTTAACAAAGTTCACAATATCAAAATGCTAGGATCAAGACTAAGGCAATGTGATTTGGGTGGTTTAAAACATGATCAAAGTGTAAGACAAACAATCAACGGGAAGTACTTTTTTAATCTTGAAAAGTCTTGTCCATTTGGACTTGAGTTTTCCAAGAAACAACTTAAGCCTTGAGTTGAATAGCAACACCTTGTCTCCTGGTTTGAAGTCATTGGGTTTATCTTCTTATCATGGAAGGCCTTGGTTCTCTCTTTGTAAATCCTGGAGCATTCAAAGGCTTCTAAGCGATTTTCTTCTAGCTCATGGAGGTTGATAAGCCTCTTCTCTTAGGCAGTTTTGATATCAAAGTTTAGCAGCCTTGTTGCCTATAAATTTTTGTATTCCAGTTCCACAGGAAGGTGACAAGCTTTACCATATAGAAGTGAGAATGGGGATCTTCCAATAGGAGTCTTGAAGACTGTTCTATATGCCTAAAGAGCATCATCCAACTTGTGAGACCAATATTTCCTTATTATGCCCACAGTTTTCCCCAAGATATCTTTGATCTCTTTATTAGATACCTCAACTTGACCACTAGTTTGAGGATGTTAAGGAGTAGCAACCTTGTGCTTGATACCATGCTTCTTTAGCAAACTCTCAAAGGCCTTGTTGATAAAATGGCTCCCCCCCATCACTTATAACACACCTTGGGACACCAAACCTTGGGAAGATGATTAACTTGAAGACCTTAAGCACAGCCTTGATATCATTTGTTGGACTAGTTATTGCTTCAACCCACTTTGACACATAGTCTATAGCTACAAGGATGCACTTGTTCCCATGAGAAGAAGGAAATGGACCCATGAAGTCTATACCCCAAACATCAAACACATCAACTTCAAGTATTGGTTTTAGAGGCATCTCATCTCTCTTGCTGATACCTCCTTTCCTTTGGCAAGCTTCATAACATACAATGTAGGCTTGTGTATCCTTGAACAGGGTTGGCCACCATAGCCCTGCTTGAAGTACCTTTGGTGATGTCTTGAAAGTGGAAAAGTGGCCACCATAAGCTGACCCATGATAGTGGTGTAGGATGCCTTTGACCTCCTCTTCTGCTATGCATCTCCTTAACAGATCATCAGTTTCCTTCTTGTAGAGATAAGGCTCATACCAATAGTAGCGAGACACATCCTTGAAGATCCTAGGAATCAAGGTTGGTTGGGACATCCCCACATGCTAAGTAGTTGGCAAAATTTGCATACCATGAGAGCTTCTCTTCTAGGACATATTCTTCAGCTGTTCTCATAGTGTATTGATATACTCATTATTTATACCATATTAGCATACATTTTGCATTGTTTTATTGTCTCTAAGCATGCATTTTTGCTTGTTCCTGTCCTATTTACATTCATTTAGGACTTAGTGTAGATTTAGGATGTGCATTGCATGTTTTATGCATGTGGAGAGTTTTGCAGGTACATTTGGAGAGTTTGGAAACTACAAGGAGCATGGAATATGATGGTGGAAGCAGCACAAGGCATGAAAAGAGCCAAGAAGAAGGTGTACCTTATTGAAGCGGCCAGAACCTGCGTCTAAAGAGCGGTTCGTACAAACCATCTCCATCCCGATTCAGCCTCAGACGTATTCATAAATATTGTAGCTCCGTGAGTTAGCGTGCGTCTGGAGTTGGTTTCAGGTCATTCCCATCAGCGGTTAGAAAGTTACAGTATTTTTCGTGACATCGCTCAACCCATGTTGTGCGCATGTCGAGCATGCACTGCGCACGACATGTTTGGCCGGAGACTTACGAGAAGCATGGCGAGCATGGATGTCGATCATCACCAGCTCGAAATCAGGCACCCGAACATCAATGTCGAGCATGCACGGCGAGCATTGAAGCTCGACATCCTCCTCGCCTGAACTTCTTTTATTTACAAGTTTGCCATTTTTAGGGATTTTGTCACTTAATATAAATAGGCTTGGACCTAAAGATATTAGTAAGTCTTGTTCTTGCTTCTAATCCTGTTTTCTCTTAATTGCTTTTTGATTTGTAAGAACAAGATCCATCTTTTAATCTAAGTTTTGTACTTCCAGTTTTAATCTGTCTTAATCTCTCTTTTTATTCATGTTTAACATATTTTTCCTCATGAATATGATGGTTTACATGATGTTCAGTGAGTAGTCTTTTATAGAAGCTTAGATGTCGTAGATTAGACGAATTTAGAGTTTGATTAAGGCTTGTTAGTGTTTAACTTCATTGATTCCTCTCTATTAGGTTGTTGTTAGGTTAGATTTATCTTGATCACATAAATCTAGATTTAGCCTTTTTTTTTATGTCCACCAAGTATTTGATGAAATGCTGATCTTGCCTTTTAGGGGATTTACTGGTCTTTGCTCAAGGGATTGACTATCTAAGAAGTATTTTGGCTTAAGTAGAATTGATTTATGCGTGCTTGCTATTGATTCTAGCACTAATGAAAATTAGTTCCTGTTAGGATGTTTAACAAGTTTTATTCACCAAGGGATTTGGTTTAGCTTGCTTGACTGTGAATTGTATGCCTATGAATTAGCATTACTTGCTTGTTTGCATTGTTAATGAGATTGATAACATATAGTCTTGCCTTTGAATTCCCCAAACTCAATAACCACATCTAGGATCCTTGCTTTTATTTATTGAATTTTGAATTTGCCTATTGCTCGGTTTTGTTGCTTGATCATTGCTAGTCATTGCTTCTAATAGTTATGTCTGGCCTTTGGTTCACTTAGTTGATTAGTTTATAGTTTGGATCAAAAGCTCATCTCTGTTTTAGCTTAACTTAAGGCTTCTATTGCATTCCTAATGCATTCATTTTAGACCAATGGATTTGACAAAAACTCATACTACAATGACTAGTACAAGTGTGGGTAATTGAAAAAGAGACTCAAAAACTCTTGTATCAATTTGGCGCCGTTGCCATTGGATCTTTGTTTGGATCATTAGGATTTGTAGAAACTTTAAGATCAAGCTTTTTATTTTTATTTGGTTAATAACTCTTTTCCAAGTGTTTTCATTGCAGGTGATGATATCCAAGTTGAGAAGATGCTCTATGTTGGGAATCAAGGAGGCAACAACTTCAACAAGGGTTTTTGCCTATGAACTACTTTCAAGGCAACTACCATCCTCACCCACAGCTTGCGCCCCCTACTTCTCTCCCTCAAGGTCCATACAATGCTTTTAACTCTAGTGAAGCCGATATCAAGAGTCTGCTCTTCCAAATCCTCATAATACAACTTAATGATACTTTGGAGATGAATGAGAAATTTGATGATGTTCACAACAAGCTGCATACATTCCATGTTGAGCTCAGTACCAAGGGTGAAGACCTTAGAGAACCCAATGGAGTATTGTTAATCTGTTGAGCCTAAGGATGAGTTGACCCTTGCTGATGAAGAGACAGTTATTGAACACTTCATTTCCTTAATCAATGAGGACATTGAACTGCAAAGTGGAAGAGAGGAGTTTATTGAAGCTGATGCCAGTAAAGAGAAGTCTCTTGAAAAAAAACCACCAAGGAAGAAGAGAAGTGGACGCCACTTGAAGATGTTGAAGCCAAGAAATAGGACAAAGCTTATGTTCTTCCAGTTTACAAGCCTGCTATCCCTTATACAGGAAGGTTCAAGAAACAGCTAGTGGAGAAGTACACCACTCTCTATGCTTCTTAAATGAAGCTGAGATGTATTGATGTTGAGGATGAGTTGAAAGAAGCTCTAGCTAAAGCTGAGGCACCAAATATCAAGAAGTTAAACATCACCAAGCTTGGTGATCCAGGTTGCTTCATTCTTCCTTGTGAGCTAAATGGAAAGACTTTCAAGAGCTGCCTTTGTGATCTAGGTGCAAGCATAAATCTGCTTCCTTCCTCTAAGCACTTGGCTATACAACATTTCAAGAGAGCAGTGTGTCTCTTACCATTGTTGATGGCACAATCAAGACACCACTTGGAGCTCTAAAGGATGTCCCAATGAAGATATAAGGTGTAGTAATTCCAACAGACTTTTTGGTTATGAATGTGGAAGGGAAGATCAAGAATCCTAAATATTAGGAAGGCCATTCTTGGCAAAAGTTGGAGCAGTATCTAATGCTAAGGAGTGCACCATTGAGTTAAGGTTGACTAAGAACAAGTTGCTGAGATTTGATTCTAAAGGTAACAAGCTGGAGAGTGAGC